GAGTTCTGAGTTTGGGGGGTTTTGGACAAAAAATTTTTTTCTTCTCTTTTTCTTGTTGGTTGTCTTTTTTCCCCCCTCTTCTTTGTTTTGTTTCTATTCCTTTTCCTTTTCTTTCTACCTTTCTCACTTCTCTGCTCAGCCTCCACACACTGATTTTCTAGACAGGTCTAGGTGCTCATGAGCCAAATATCTGAATACTTTTGGGGCCAGATTAATTCTCAATTTTCATTGAATCATTTGTGCAAAGGGAGAAAAACGGTACTGTTTACAGACTGCAGGTCACCTCCTCCTGCATGCCTCTGATTGCTCAGATTTAACTCCAAAAAATAGGAAAAAATGTACAATCTATCTGATGTCCAGAAACCACCGCAGAGGTACACGAAATATGAGAAGCCAAGAAAATATCTCTCCTCTAGTGGAAAACAAAAACTCCTCTTTCTACACAGACAATACAAGAGAACTCATGGAAATGTCAGATAAAAACTTTAGAATATTTATAGTGACAAAGCTAACAGAGATGCAAGTGAAGAGAGACCATTATCTCCAGAAGATGGAGGAGAAAAAAAGATGAGTTCTAGGAGGTGAGGAAGTTCTTGCATGATATGAAAGAGGAAATACACAACCTAAAAAAGAATCAAACAGAATTGTTAGACATGAAGGCTGTACTACAGGAAATCAAAACTTCCACTGAAAATATCAAAAGCAGATTAGATCCTGCAGAAGATCGAATCTCAGATGGAGATTAGTCTGAACTAGTGAAATAGAGTTTTTTTACTTAAGACTAAAACATTACTGATTTTCTTCAATGCTTTGATTTCCATGTTTAAGGATTTTTATCTTCTCTTAAACTGTTGATAGGTTCATCTACCTACTGTTTGAACTGAATCCTAACCTATTCCTGGCTTTAAGTTTTAAGAAAATTTCTCTTTAGATTTTTAAAATTTTGATCTATTTTTATTTTGAAACTAAAACTATTTTCTGAAATTAAAAAATATCTATTAATACCTGTTTAATGACTGCAGTAAGCTATATAGCCCCAGCAAGGTGCTACTTTATAGTAAGCTCACTTTACTCACTGAGGTTTACGTCTAAAGTCAGACATACATTTATAAATATGTATATATCAGCCGTGCTTGCTATTGAAAGTCTTTAAATTAATTAATATCTTTAGTGAATCAATAAAATGTGAAAAAAAAATAAGGCATGAAAAACAAGTGTACATACCAGAGACAGTGTGGGAGAAGGGGATGAGTTGTCAGATGTAGGGAATCAAGGGGGTGGGGGAAAAACAAAATATATAAGAAACAAGAAATAGAAAATTATTTGTTGATGATAACATGTATGATAATATCTTTTGTTGAGCCAATATACAGTGTATACTGGATAGAAAACCTCATTTTGTATATTCTATTGATGTACAGTGAATGACTGCAAATAAATAGATAAATAAAAGTTTGGGGAAACAATGGAATTAAAATACAAGTTTATAGATTTCAAGATTCATGCATTTTTTTCTTTAGAATTATTTAGTTAATTTTATTTATCATCATCATTCTCACTATTTAATTTGCCACAGGACATATGCACTCATGAGAGAGAGAGCTAGAGAGAGAGAGGGAAAGCAGGAAAGCAAGATGCCAGGTCCAGGACTCAAACTGTGGTTGGCCAAGTGAGAGTCCAGTACACCACCACACCTCCCGCTGGCCCCCATGCATAGCTTTTTTTTTCTTTTTTTAAAGAATTATTCTATTTAACTTTATTTATTTAAATTTGACCAGAGAGGGACAGCTTGAAAGAGAGAAGGAAAGTGAGAAATCAAGCCGCCAGGTTTTGGGACTCCAATCACAGGCAGCCATTTGGGAATCCAGGGCCCCTAATCACCATGCGACCTGCCCGCCTTCCTATGAACGTTTTGTTTTAAATTATTTTATTTAACTTGATTTATTTATTTTAATTTGACCAGAGAATGACAAAGAGAGGAGAGAGAGAGAGAGAGTAAGAAACCAAGCCACCAGGTCCGAGACTTGAACCACAATCAACCATATGGGAGTCCAGCACCCTTAACCACCATACTACCTGCTGGCCCTTCCCATGAACACTTTTTTTTTCTTTTTTGGAGAGGTTTTTGCTATAGGGTGCATGCACTCGCCAGACAGAGAGAGACAGAGAGAAAGAAAGCAAGAAATCACCCCCCAGGGGGGATGGCCCTGCCGCAATCCCTTCTCCTCCATTCTCCTCTCGATCTTGGGCACGCACGCACACGCACCCAGCGTGAGTTTAAGCCACCAGGTCCGGGACTCAAACCACAGTCAACTACATGGGAGTCCAGTGACATAGCCATTATGCTAACTGCTGGTCCTCCCATGAACATTTTGAAGACTCCCCCATATAAATGAAATAGATATAAATCAAACACTAAGGTGGAACCATAAAACCAATTGCAATAAATGTAAATAGTATAAACATTAACTTAAAAGGCAGAGATTGTCACATTAGGTAGTAAAGCAACATCTAACTATGAACTGCCTACAGGCAATTCACTTAAAATTTAAATATGCTAAAAATAAAAGAATGGGGTCAGTCAGTGGCATGGTGGCTGAGACAGCTAGATCCCTTATGGCCAAATGTGTAGTTTAAGTTCTGGGCCTGGTGGTTTGAAAAACACAGTGAGCACGCATGTGTACTTGCCCAAAATCCAAGAGGAGAGTGGAGGTAAAGGGATTGTAGTGTGGACATCCAGCCCCCTCCCTGGGGGGATTACTTTCTCACTTCCCAACCCCCACCCCTGTCTCTCTCCTATGAGCACAGATACCCTATAGCAAATTAATGAAATAAAATAAAATAAAAAAGATACACCAAGATAACCCTTATCAAAATAAAGTAGATTTCAGAACAAATAGTATTAGCAGAGATAAAGAGGAACAGTTTATAATGATAAAGGGATCATAACAATTCTCAGTGTTTTTGTATCCAGTAACAGGATCAATATATTGATATATGACATAAAAATTGAGAGATCTGAAAGGAAAAAACAGGTGCAGTTACGATTGCAGTCGGAGATTTCAGCATTTTCTCTCAATAATTGAGAGCATGAACTAAAACTCAGTAAGGGTATAACAGACTTGAAAAACACGATGGACACTATAAATCAAACTATCTATATATTTTTATGTATAGGATACTCCACCCAGGATAATACGAATTCTTTTCAAATTCACAGGTAATATGTACCAAGACACAAAGTATACTTGGATGCAAAACTAAAACTCAGTAAATTGAAAACAATTCAATTCACTCAAAGTACATATAATCTCTGACCATAATGGAATTAAATTTAAAAACAATAGGATAAAGATTCCTGGGAAACTCCCAAATATTTGAGAACTAACACACTTGGGATTAGGAAATATTTTAAACCACATCAATATAAAAATACAACGTATCGAATATGATAATAAGCTGGTAAATAGTGCTTAGAGGAGATATATAGAAAGGTCTCAAATTGGGACCGGCAGATGGCGTAATGACCATGTCACTGGACTCCCATGTGGTCGACTTTGGTTTGAGTCCCGGCCCTGGTGGCTTAAACTAACGCCAGGCGCATGTGAGTGTGTGCCCAAGATCCCGAGAGGAAAATTGGAAGAGAAGGGATTGCAGTGTGGCCATCCCCAACCCCCCCCCCCCCATAGGTGATTTCTCACTTTCTGTCTCTCTGTCTCTCTCTGTCTTTCTGGCAAGTGCATGTGCCCTATAGCAAAAACCTATCAAAAAAAAAGAAAGGTCTCAAATTAATAACTTCAGTTTCCACCTTAAGGAATCAGAAAAAGTAGAACAAGTTAAACCTCAAAACCAGAGAGATAAAGCAATAAAGCCAAAAACTTGTTTTCAAAAACTCAATAAAATTGATAAATCTAGTCAGACATATTAAGAAAAAAAGAGAGGACAGGGACCAGCAGTTAGCGTAATGGCTATGTCACTGGACTCCCATGTAGCCAACCGAGGTTCGCGTCCTGGACCCGGTGGCTTAAACTCACGCCGGGCGCAGGTGCATGCGTGCCAAGATCCCAAGAGGAGAATGGAGAAGAAGGGATTGCGGCATGGCCATCCCCCCTGGGGGGTGATCTCTCACTTTCTGTCTCTCTGTCTCTGTCTGTCTGTCTGGCGAGCACACATGCCCTATAGCAAAAACCTCTCCAAAAAAAAAAAAAAAAAGAGAGAGAGGACAAAATTTACCAATGCCAAAAAGTAGGAAAAGACATAATTACATTTTCTTAAAATAAAAAAGAACTCCTTTTAGAATAATTTAATTTATTATTGTTATTTTAATTTGATCAGAGTAAGACAGAGAAAGGGAAAGTGCGAATGTGAGCTGCCAGGACCAGGACTCAAACTGGTCGGACATGTGAGATCCCAGTGCCTAAATCACCACACCACCTGCTGGCCCACGGTTAGATTTTCTGCAGACACTGAAAAGATAGTAAGGGAATATGATGAACAACACCCCACACAAAAATTCAGCAACTTAGATGAAATGAACCAGTTGCTCAAAAGACACAAACTATCAAAATTCATTCCAAAGGAAATAGATAACCAAGTAGCCCTACATCTGTTAAGGAAACTGAAGTTTTACTTAATGTCTTTCCCACGAAGAAAGCTCATGGCTAAGATGGTATTGCTAATAAATTCTACCAAATATTTAAGAAGCAAATTATATTAATTCTACATAACTCTCCCGAGTATCGAAGAGGAGCAATTATTTCACAACTCTACGTTCGACATTACTCTGATACTGCAAAAACCAAAGGCAATATACGAAAGACCCCAGACTAAAATCCCTAACGAATATAGACACAAACAATTATTAATAGTATTTTAATGAACCAAACTCAATGATGTGTATTAAAAAAATCATCCCATGACTGTAACACTGTTCTAACTTTTTTTTTTTTTTTTAAATCAGACTGGCTTCAAGGCCTAGTGGTTAAGGAAGCTGGATTCCACATGGCCAATTGAGTGTCTTGAATCCCGAATCCAGCTTTCTGAAAAGCACCGTGTGTGCGTGTGCGTGTGTGTGTGTGTGTGTGTGTGTGCGTGTGTGTGTGTGCGTGCGTGTGTGTGTGTGTGTGTGTGTGTGTGTGTGTGTGTCTCAGAGATGGAGGAGTGACTGTGGCCTGACCGCACCCCACTGGGGGGTGCTTTCTCCCTCTCCCCAGGAGGCCTCTTTGCTCTCTCTCTCTGGCAAGTGCATGTTAAAAAAGTAATGTAATTTGCCATATTGAGAACTAGGAAAGAAAAATCAGATGATCATCAGTGTAAACGCAGGAGTACTTTGTGCCACGGCCAGGGCCTTGCCTGCAGCCCACACCCAGGAACAGAGAAATACCAGGGAAGAGGATCTTCGACAGGCTGGGAGTGACTAGAACTGTCCCTCCCCTCAGGCTGAGTGGGGGCCCGTTGTCACTACTAGGTCTATGAGGCACCTCCTACCAGGAGCTTTTAGGGCAATGGTGACATCGTTAGGACTTCTGATGGCCAGATGCTTCAGCCAACCTGCCCCTCCCGTTTGTGGAACACACCCCAGGCCTAATTACCCCTCCCAGGGCTCTCTCCCACCATTCCCTCCATGAAGGCTCCGTCTCCTCTCAGGGCTTCGTTCTGGGGGGTGGACAGTGTTCATCGTTCAGCCACCCCACCCTTCTCATTTCTTTCCATGTATGCCATCCTAGAAGGGTTACAAAAGCAGGTTTATATTTTATTTTCTGTATTTTCTGTCTGGTGCCTACAGCTTGTTGCTTTTATCTTCAAACCCCCCTTAATTTTTCACAGAATGACCGCTGCACTTTAATATTTCCGCAGCACTCTCTAACCACAGTTTATTAGCACAGCTTCTTCGAAGAGGAGAACGAACCTGCTGGCGAGACTGTGGGATGAGGACTGCTATTTTGCACTAAAAGCCTTGGAGGCACTATGGACTTTGTAAGTCTATACAGGTAGCCCGTGGGTAACACGAGTTCAATCAAGAAGACAGCAGGCCTGCGGGTGCGGCGCGGTGCTGCTGGCCGTGCTGGGTCCAGGTGGAGCCCAGGACCTGGTTCCCTGGTCTACCTGTGCTTGCTCCATGCCAGGTGCACGTGCCCATGCTCCACGATCCCGTCGGGAAGGCTGGGGAGGATCGAGCACGGAATCGTGTTGAGGATGCTTGTTTTCCTCTCTCTCTTTCTCTGCCTCTCACTGTCATGAAAGAAAGAAATTTTAAAGAAAACATATGCTTTCTCCTCCTCCCCGTCCTTGTCCTAGCGAGGGTGTCCCTAGTCCCCTGCGCAGGCTCCCAGCCTCACAGTCCTTCTCGTGACAAAGCCGCAAACAGGCACTACCTATCCCAGTAGACACAAAATCAGTCTCCCATTTCTGATCTTCTCTATTGTCTGGGCAAACAGGTTTCAATTTCGCTTTTTTGGCTCCTAATTTCACGTCTTTACTGAATGATTCCAAGTTCAGTCTCCACCTTCAGGCACCACAGCGCCGGCACACACGACACCCAAGCGGAGCCGTGCCGCACTTTCATGGCTCCCTCTCTGGTCTCATTCAGCCCTGCTGGACGGAGAGGGAGCCTGCACAGCCGGGTGTGCGGGGCAGACCCGTCTACGTGCAATTGCAGAGCCCCGGGAGAAGCGCTCTGGGGGACCAGCGCTGCTGCTCACGGTTTGGACATGGTACACTTCGGAAGCCTTCCGTCCTTCCTGTCTGCCTGAATCGCTTTCAGGGAGGGGAGGGGATCTCTGGTCTTTGAACACTGTCCTGTCTTGGAGTGGCAGGGCTCCCCAGCCCTCCGTGCGGTGCTGACCGTGGGAGCAGCCCTGGGAGATCTGGCGTTCTTGCTCTGCTGCTGGGGCAAGTTGCCGCAATGCAAGCCTTTCCCTTGTTCTCCCTCCCGTCAGGAAGAGCATGGACGTTTTTATGTTTCCTCTTGCAAATCTTCTGTCTCGGAAGCACAGCGATCAATCATGTTGTCAACACAAATAGGCCTCATAAATTTCAAAGTGAAAGTCACTTCTGACCGTTTCCTCGCCCACAAAACATGGGAGTGACACCAGATCGTCTCTAAGGGTCTTTCCGTCTCACATGGCTGTGACTTTACAGCTGCAGTCAACGGTACAGAGCAGAAGTCTCCCCCTGAAACAGCCCCGGTACTGGAGAACCTACAAAAAGAGCCAATACGAGAGGTAAGACATGAATCCCGAACTGGAGCAGAAAAATGAGAACGTGCTTGTAGAATGTGTCCCCACCCACATGCCTTCCAGTTGGCTCTGGGTGGTTTCCAGACCCGGTGGCATCTGACTGATAAGCATCACTCTTTATTAGCGTAGCCATGGTTTGAGGTGTTTACAAAGGTTGCGAGAACACTGAGCCAAGAGCTGGAGGCCGGAAGTTCCCCACACCTGCATGCAGCCAGGCTCTGGGCTCTCACGTTTTCTCCTACATTGCAAGGCAAGTGACTTTAGCTTTGCTCCTCTGTCCTCTGTCTCTGAAATACCACAACTTTAGGGGGACAGGGGATGCATTGGCCTTCACCAAGGCTGCTAAGCAGTTAGCGTAATGGCTATGTCGCTGGACTACCACATAGTTGACCGCGGTTCGCATCCCGGACCCGGTGGTTTAAAACTCACACCAGATGCGTGTGCATGCGTGCCCAAGATCCCGAGAGGAGAATGGAGGAGAAGGGATTGCGGCGTGGCCATCCCCCATGTGGGGTGAGTTCTCGCTTTCTGTCTCTCTCTGTTTTCTGTTTGTCTGGCGAGCGCACGTGCCCTATGGCAAAAACCTCTCCAAAAAAAGATCCCGAGAGGAGAATGGAGGAGAAGGGATTGCGGCGTGGCCATCCCCCATGTGGGGTGAGTTCTCGCTTTCTGTCTCTCTCTGTTTTCTGTTTGTCTGGCGAGCGCACGTGCCCTATGGCAAAAACCTCTCCAAAAAAAAAAAAAAAGAGGGAGTTGCTTTCAGCTGGTGGAGGCCCAGGGTACAGCCTGTGCACCCTCCAGCCACTGAGCGAAGTTGCTTGCTTTTGGAATGCAAACACACCCCAAATCCAGAGATAAAAACGATCGCATGGAGGAAGGCAGTGGCTGCAAAACTCAAATAGAAACACAATTTCAGGACCATCACTCTGGGAACCAATGACACTGAGATAGGGAAGGAAGGGGTACCTCAGGGAGAACAAGTGTGTGCAAGGAGAAGAGGAGACAGCCAGGAGGGGGCCAGGGTAGGTGTTGTCCTGAGCCGGCTCCCCATAGGCATGCTTTTCCGGTCTCTTCATGCCCTCATGAACCACTGCGGAAGCTGCTGGAGTGCTGCATTTCTTCACTGAGTTACTGACTCATCCACTCCTTCACTTCCCTCCCTGCTCATTCATTCAGAAAACGCATATTCCACACCTACTAGGATCTCCCCTGGATGAACAGGACACAGTCCCTGCCCGGGTCACAGCCAAGGGTGGAGAGGCAGATGGCTAAACAGACAAAGGCGAAGTGCCTCGGCGGGGCAAGCACGCGACGTGGTGGGCACGTGGCAGAGGCAGAGCCTAGCCAGCTTGGGAAGGCCACAGAGCGTTTTCCCAAGCCGAGCCTGCCTTAAGGGTGCATGTCTTAATCTGTCGTATACTGCTGTAACAGAATCCCACAGACCGGGTAACTCATAAGAAAATAAATTTATTTTGGTGTCAGCAGGTGGCGTGGAGGTCAATGTGGCTGGACCCTACATGACTAACTCTGTGGTGTGAGTCTCAGACCCAGTGACTTGAAAATCACACCAGGCATGTGTGGTGCATGTCCAAAATCCCGAGAGGAGAGTGAGGAGGAGCGATTGTGGAGTGGCCATCCCCCTCTCTCCCAAGTGCATGTACCCTATAGCAAACTATTAGGAGAGAGAGAGAGAGAGAGAGAATTTGCTCCTGTAGTCCGGAGGCTGAGAAGGTCAAAGCACAGCATGTATCTGCCTGGCAGGTGGTGGGGGCCTTCTCACTGCCCCAGCATGGCGGGAGGCAAGCAAGCACGTGGGACAAAGACAGTAAGTGAACTCATCCTTTACCCACTCCTGTGACAACCTCTCGGGAGGCCAGAGCCCTCATAATCTCTTACCTCCCAAAGTTCCCACCTCTTAATCCAGTCACACTGGCAATGAGATGTCAGCATGTGTTTTGAACATGGGGCCTACAAACCACTGCAGTGCTGCAGGTTGTGGGTTATTTGAGGGGTGAAAGGGGGAGGGGAAGGAGGTAGAGGCCGCTCGGGGGAGGGGGCAGCTTTCACAACGGCTCCAAGATGAGAAGGAGCATGCAGGGCTTGGTGGTCTGAAGAGGTCCGGGCAGCTCAGCTCAGCCACGAGCTGCCGGCCCGCATGCCCGGTCAGGAGGGCTGCAGCCGCACCTTCCCGTGCTCACCCGGCAGCACCTGCGCAGAAACCAGCTGGCGTGGGCTGGCCACGGGAAATGATCTCCCTGGGTTTGATAGTATTTCAGCCTGCAGGGTTGGGGTCAATAACAGTCTCCCCTTCAGAGGAAGGCAAAAATTTTTGAGCCAGGAAGCAATTGTACAACTCACGTAGAGTGGATGAGGTGGGCTGCTCCCTGAAGGGGCCAGGCGGCAGGGACCTTCTGGGGACACTGGCAGCCATCAGAGGCACCTGGAATGGCCCAGACAGTGGGAAGCCAAGTGGTGCTTTGTTCCAGGCACCAGGAGAAACGCATACACAGGTGACCTCTTGCCATTGTCCTGACAACCTCATGGAAGTCAGTGTCACTAACCCACTGGACCAATGAGCAAGTAGAGACTGGGAGTTTGTCCAAGCCACTTACCCCATGGCTGGGGGCGGTGGCGCATGGCTGTGGCCCCAGCTACTCTGGAAGGGAGTCAGGAAGCTCATGGGATTGAGGCCAGCCTGGACAACATGGCAAGATCCTGTCTCAATTGGGGGGAAAGAAAAGAAAAGGTTTGTCACGGTTCTGACCTGCACAGGGTCATCGTAGCACCAAGCTGCCCCAGTAAGAGCGGTCCTGGAGCAGGAAGCAGTACCACGGTGTGTCTGGGCACAGTGGCTCGGGAGAGGTCTGAGCTAAACCCACTGTGAACAGGAAGGGGTGACAAACAGCAGGCCAAGAGCCCGAGCAGGAGTCAGAGGGCAGGTTTTAGCCGAGAGTTCACTCTGTCACTCGTCCCCTGTGTTCCAGAGCAGAAGCGTCTGCTGGCCACGCGGCAGAAAGAGCAGCCGAACACGCCTACGGAACAGCCAGGATCTGGTCTTCGTGGTCTCCCAGGGAGTGCCCGCCACAGGCAGATGAGGCACTTGCCCCGCTGTAGGGTACATGCAATACCTGCTAAGAAGAATAAGGGATGGGAAGGCAGTTTTTGACATGTAAAAGCCGTCGAGTGACCAGTGAAGAGCTGAAGAGAGGGAGGCTGTGAGCAGCGAGGACAGCTGGGGCCCAGCGTTTCCAGCCGAGGGACTGTGAGGGCACCGAGTCAGGGGTGTGTCTGTGCGTCCAAAGCCCAGTGGAAGCCCCCACGGCAGAGCACAGGGTAAAAGCAGCTGCCCAGGCAATGCAGAGAGACGAGTCCGCAGGAAGCTAGACCACGCGAGGCCCTGGAGGCCACCGTGAGGGCTTTGGCTGCCCCTCTAAGTAGGAGCGGAAGCCTTTGGGAGGTTTCAAGCAGAGAGAGACTCTGACTGATGTAAATGACAGTGGATCTAGGAGTCTAGTCGCTGTGCTGCTGGGCCAGGAATGCAGTGTGGGGAAGGGAGGGGAGGAGAGGGGAGTGAGGGCAAAGCAGGGAGAGGATGGGGAGTTCGCGCAACAATCCAGGTGGGAGAGAGTGTGGCCCTGACCGGGCGGGAGTGGAGAAGATGGGAGATGGGGTCAGATCTCAACATCGGCTTGGAAAGTTGAGCCAAAGGGATTTGCTGGCAGGTTGGATGTGGGGAGTGAGAGAGAAGGCAACGAGGAGGCCAAGGCTTCCGGGTACGGAGCTTTCGGAAGTGCCTTGGAGGAGAAAAGAAAAGATCGGCAGGTTTGGGGAGGAAAGCCAGGACTTCAGCTTTTACCTGTTAAACTTGAGGCAGAGATGTGGGACGTAGACAGGACAGTTCCACAAAAGCAGGAAGAATGTGTCATGTGTCACGGCGCAAGGTCTGGCTGCCGTGCACAGAAAGGAGGCCATCGGACTGGCTAGCGAAAGGGTGGGAGGGCACAGCAGAGGCACGGCGCATGCTCTGTGAATTGTGACCCAGGCCCGCACGCCCCTTCATCACCAGCGGGGTTCTTTCCATTCCCCTTCCAGCCCTTTCAGGTCAGTGCTGGCCCTTCCCTACCCACGTGTCCAGTGCTGGCTTCCAGCCCTGTCTGCTTTCAGGGCCGCTGTGGGGAGCTCGTGGAAACTGGTGGGAGGGTGTCCTGTCCCCTGCATGGTATTTTAATGTTCATTTTTATGGAGCACTCATTTTCCTGCTAAAAATAATCCATGCCTTTCTGGGAGTAAGGGAGGAGGGAAGTAGGGTGGAAAAATTACTTCAACATCTCACAAAACTGCTCCATGGAGCTGAGGCCTCACCTACCGTGGGCTTAAGCACTGGCTTCCCATACCCATTTCTGGAAGTCTTTGCTAAGTCTGCCAGCCCAGGCCCTTCCTGTGTTAATGAAAGCAGAGTGGCGAGAACCCATCCCAGACACTCCCTCCCTGCACTAGCCTGGCCCGCTTCCCTTCCAGTAGATGGCACGAAACTGAGTTCACGGGGCACAGAAAGTCCAAACATCTGTTTCTCTGTGTAATGTCATCTGCCCCAGAGCACCCCGTCCCCCACACAGGAGCCTGCATTCTAAATTTGGAGAAGGAAGGGGGGGGGGAATACAGCAGAAGGGAACTCCTCCCCTCCCAGGGTCACATTCTGAATGTGGAGGGACACCCAGATCTGGTTTCCAGACGTGAGCTAGGGAGCTCTGCAGACCCAGAGGGCTCATCTCCTCGCTGCTTCCCTGGATTCTGTCCTCTGACAAAAGAAAAAGAAAAAGAAACCGGGCAAATGGGGTTGAGGAGTAGGATTTCCTTGGGTCCGGAGCACCTGAGTCTTTACCACCACAGGGAGTCGGGGCTGGCCTCAGGGTAGTTAAATTCTCCTGTCATGGGCAATTTGAGTGCCAGCCTAAAGGAGACTTCTCTTTGACCCAGCCTGAGCTAGGGAAAGTGAGAAAGCGCCCCTCAGGCAGGTGTGGGCGGTGGAGGCCATGACTGTGCTACAAACCCTTCTCTCGGGATTTTGTCATGTGCACGCACATGCCCAGTATGTTTTTCAAACTGCCGGGTCTAGGACTTGAACCAAGTAGTAGGCCATGTGGGATCCAGCTGTCCTAACTCCATGTCATCTGTGGCCCCATTGGTTAGTTTTTGTCTGAATATCCAATATCCTAGTAACTCATTTCCCTGCGGGAGATGAGTTTCCTTGCCATCCCTCCCCCCATTTTCTCCATGGCCACCCAAGTGGCATTTTAAAACTGCAAATCAAGTCATGCCAACCTTACTCAGAACCTAGAATGAGACCCCCCATGCTAATGTCACTCACTTCGTCCTCAGTGCTGTCACTTGCCCTCTCTCCTGGCCCTCCTGATCCTTACTACACTGTGACTGTCTTACTTTCCTCAACACGCCAGCCTAAAGGAGACTTCTCTTTGACCCAGCCTGAGCTAGGGAAAGTGAGAAAGCGCCCCTCAGGCAGGTGTGGGCGGTGGAGGCCATGACTGTGCTACAAACCCTTCTCTCGGGATTTTGTCATGTGCACGCACATGCCCAGTATGTTTTTCAAACTGCCGGGTCTAGGACTTGAACCAAGTAGTAGGCCATGTGGGATCCAGCTGTCCTAACTCCATGTCATCTGTGGCCCCATTGGTTAGTTTTTGTCTGAATATCCAATATCCTAGTAACTCATTTCCCTGCGGGAGATGAGTTTCCTTGCCATCCCTCCCCCCATTTTCTCCATGGCCACCCAAGTGGCATTTTAAAACTGCAAATCAAGTCATGCCAACCTTACTCAGAACCTAGAATGAGACCCCCCATGCTAATGTCACTCACTTCGTCCTCAGTGCTGTCACTTGCCCTCTCTCCTGGCCCTCCTGATCCTTACTACACTGTGACTGTCTTACTTTCCTCAACACGCTGACTTTACTCTCCTCTGCCTGTCACGATTCCCATCTCCACCGCCTGAAACACTGTCCCTGGGAGGACCTTTGCATCTTCACCCTCCCTTATCTAGATCTATACTCAAGCAATGATTGTTACCTGAGAAATAAAAACATTCAGAACTTATTATTCAGATGGGCCAGGTACCCTGATACGGACACTGTCTCTTTTCTTTTTTCTTTTTCTTTTTAGATTTTTTGCGATAAGGTATGTGAGATCACCCGAGAGACAGAGAGAAAGAAAGCAACAAATCACCCCTGTCCCCTCCCCCACTCCTTTTCCTCTATTCTCCTCTCTGGGTCTTGGCCATGCGTGCACACACACCTGGCGTGAGTTTCAAGCCACCAGGTCTGGGACTTGAACAGCCAACCATGTGTGAGTCGAGTGTCCCAAGCACCAAGTCACCTGCTGGCCCGGAGCGTTGTCTCTAACTCTCAGCAATCCTCTGAGAGGCTTACTATTATTTTACCTGGTTTGACAGAGGAGGCAAGCGCGGCCTGAGAGGGTAAACATCTTGCCTAAGATTTCACAGCCAACCAGGGACGGCCCTGGGCCTTGCACCTGGTCTCACTCCAGAGTTTCCGCTTCTGCCTGCTAGAGTACATGGCCCCAGTGAGAGCCGCCAGTTCGATTCCCAGCCGTCACCCAGAGCTCCCTGCACTGCATCCACCCACCCCCACCCCCGTGCACCCCCGTGTTACCACTGTCCAGGGGGCGGAAGAGCCCTCACGGCAGGCGACCTGCGAGCTGTGAGCATGCTCTCAGCCCCAGTTCTCCCGGGCAGGGATGCAAGTGTGGGATGGGGCGGGGGCAGGCGGGAGCAGCTGGCTGGGTGGGGCAGGAGGGCAGTTGTGTACCCAGGAGCCCACTTTCTGGTCTGTCCTGCCCAGGCTCTGATGGAAGTTTCCCCGCTATCTTGATTCTCCCGCTCCCCTTTCTCTTGCTACTTCTCTCCCTCCTCTTCTGGAGGGAATTGTGGGGTTCTCCTTGCTCCCCAGTCCTGGTTCCTAGAGGTTGCCAGCAGACAGTCCTGTAGGTAAAGGCTCGGGAGCAAACTCACAGGAGCTGGGGGGCGAGCGCCCCTCCTCGGTCTCTGCCCGCCTTCAGTTCGCTGTTCCCTGGAGTCCCCAGGTGCATGGGCTCCCCGCCACCTCAGGGCTGAGTCCGCTAGGGCCAACGCGCCCCAGCCTCTGCTTTGCAGCCCGGACAGCCAAGTGTCTGCTCAGCCTACCAGGACGGCGGAACCCCGGTTCTCCCACAGGCTTGCCCTAGCCCAGGGACCAGCAGAATACAGGCCCTCCTTGACCCCGCGTGGCACTTGTCCCCGGCCAGCGTGGCCCTGCTGCGGCTCTGCGCCCCACCACCTGGGTCCAGCGCCCATGCTCGGAAACTCATCGGATGCGGCTCTGCTGGGAGCTGGCCTGAGCTCCCCGCGGGTTCGGGTCGGGCTCCCCCAGACTCTGCTGCCCAGGTTTGGAAGAAAGGCCGCTCTGCCACAGCAATGGCATAGCCAAAGGTGTCCCTCGCAGACGCACACAAAGAAACACACACCTGCAGCAGGTGGTGTGGTGGTTAAGGCGCTGGACATTCCCACATGGCCGACCAGGGTTTGAGTCCTGAATCTGGTGGCTTACTTTCTTGCTTTCTCTCTCTCTCTCACTCTCACCCTCTGTGTCTCTCTGGTCAAATAAATAAAAAAAAAAAAAGAATGAATAAGTAAAATAAAATAAATAATTATTAACACACACAAACACACACACACACACACCTGCAAGTGGGGTTTCCGGACAGACGCCTGGATGCTTCCCAGGCACCCTGGCGACAGGCGCAAACACCCCCACCTCGGCCGGCCAGCGTTTCCTGTCTTTCTCTAGCGTGGAGGCTGGGGTCAGAACTGCTCAGGGGACACTTTTCTGGGTGGCGGGCGTTAAGCATGCTGCTGAATCAGTACCTGCCAGCGTGTCATTCCCTTATGGTCTCTGTATCAAGTGGAAATTACCGACTCAGGAAAGAACAACGGAGATGAAAATTCTGGAGTTAGCTTGAGGGAAGGAATCTCAGGCTATGAGGGTAGATATGTCTCTGTGAAAGAAAAAACAGAGAGGAACAGAGCCGAGAGGGAGAGAGGGAGCCTGAGATAGGGGTCCTGTAATTTGTCCCCAAATTAGCACAGCTTTGAGAGTAACAGGGACTATGAATAATGTCTCTGTTTTTTTGTCTTGTTTTTAGATTTTTGCCACAGGGCAGGCTCACCAGAGGGAGACAGAGAGAAAGTCAGAGAAAGGGAAAGTGAGAAATCATCCCCCAGAGGGGAAGGCCATGCCACGACCCCATCTCTTCCAGTCTCCTCCCTGGATTTTGGGCACACAGGCACACTTGCCTGGTGTGATTTTCAAGTCACCAGGTCCAGGACTCAAACCGTGGTTTGCCATGTGACAGTCCAGTGTCTTAACCACCCCCCCCCCACCTGCTGGGCCTCTGAATATCAGATTTCTAAGAAAAACCAGTTGGTTCTCTAAGAAACAAACTGATTCCAGGTTTTTAAAACCTTTTTAAACTATTCTAAATGGGTCAAATTCAAACTTTCTAGGTCAAATTGGATAAAGCCAGCCCAAACAGGATAAAACAGTGTTCCAGATGGAGACAAATCGGATTCCCAACAGTTTATACTGCTGGAGACCAGAAACCCTGCAGCCGACTTGACCTCTCTGGATCAGACCACTAGGAACTGACTCTTACTAGCTCACAAGTGGGGCGAGTTGGCCGGAGCGGACTCAGCCCTGAGGTGGCGGGGAGCCCATGCATGGCTATCCTGCTTCACTTCCAGGAAAAGCAGTGCAAAATGACTCTTAGCAGCGCAAACAGATCCTAAACGCATTGAGCCAGTTGAAAGTTGCATTTGTCTGCATGCGCTGCTTCAGACCGCATCGGATTAGCTCTAATTGCATAGCCTTGCCCTTGATGATTAAATCCAGCACTGGAGCCAGCAGGTGGCATGGTAGTTAAGGTGCCCACTCTGGGTTTGCGTCCTGGACTAAGTAGCTTGAAAAACACCCCAAGTGCATGTGCATGTGTGTCCCAAATCCCGA